ACATTTGCCTGGTGATAAATAATCGAAAACATTCGTTCGCCTAAATTAACTTCCTGAACGCTTACATGAGTATAAACCCTGTCTAGACCCCCCGCCACTTTTGCCTGTTTGTATAAACACGAATTAAGCGATCATTGGAGAGGATGGATCCAACAAAGCTAAGGAAGACCGGAATGGCTACTTCTGGCGGGTTCGAATCCCGCCGAATGCCGCGAGTTTTTTCACAATTGGGTCAACTCCAAAAAAACTTAATAATAACCGTCATCAGCCAGTCATTGCCAATCTCAAGGGTTGGAACCCCTGAGATTCGAACCCGGGACATATGGTCATTGAGTTTACCACTCTACCATTGCATCACGGGCTCGTTGCTTCATCGGCTGGGATTGGGAATATGATGAATATATGGGCTTCACCGATCTGGTAGAGGGGTAATTAAATTCCGCTTCACCCTGAAGTTCACAATCAGAGCCTGCGCAGGCAATCAAATAGCAACTATGAGGATAGGATGGAATGAATCCAACAAAGTAAAACCAAATAATTAGTCACTCACCTGTCCCGTTCGATTCAACGTCTCTTTGACACTCTCAGCTCTGAAGTAGCTTCTCGCGTGGGTGTCATTGACAGCGTTGTAGGGCGGATATATGCTGACGAAATTGGTGGTGTACTGAGCACACTCCCTGGAGATGCTGGCGGCCGCCACGCCGTCCAAAATAAACGCATGCTCAAGAGACCTCTGTTGTTCCAGCGGCGGAGTTGGCGGACAGCGGTAGAGCTTGTTCTCGCGCCCCGATGAATTCATCGCTAGTGGCGTCTGAGCGGAGGACTAGTGACCTCTGCCAGCATCTTTCAGCAGCATATGTACTTCTAGTACAACTCTCACCGTGGGCGTGCGTTATCTCGATGTGAGCTGTTGCGAAAACAAAGTCCACGAGACTTTGTTGGAGAGGGAGGAGATGCACTTTGGCGTGGTGCTGGACTTTTATTAACCTCTTGTTATTTCCGGCTGAACAAGTTTGAAATTCTTCACTTCCTTTCTCCAGCAAAAATCCTGTTTGACCTACATATGATTGTTCTCCCCTTATGGAAGTTTTCTCCTCCTCTGAATCGAATTGCCCGTCTCCCCTTCCTCCAGGAATCCTTTCACCCTCCTCTTTTCACCTTTTATTTCCAGTCGAATGCACATTAGGGCTAAAACGACACCCCAGACCAAGTGGTACTCGAATACTGTCTCCATCCCCTGTCGGCTTCCTTGTATTTCAATCACCCTTTCCCACAATGCTTCCGCCCCCCACTGCACCAAGAGACAACTGTTTCAAGAGCTATTCGATATTGCCCTCCCCTCCATCTCTGGTTCAATTACAGCTTTCACCATCGCTGACCTCAAAAAACTTGCAAGTAGCGGCCCTCAATCCGCCCCCCTTGCCGGCGCAGTATTGCCTCTGTACACGTACACCCCTTTTCGCCCTGGTGCTTCAGACCAATGGGAGTTCACAAGAACTGCCTCCTGAAATCACATAAAAGTAGCAGTCTCTGCCTCTCCCATTAAGATATAAACGCTCTCTCAAGACTGGTTTTTCCCTGAGTGGCATTGCTGTTGAGCGTGTGCTGTTCCATTGCATAGAGGCAGACAATTTGGCTGTCTCCTTTCCTTCTTGACTTTGTGTATCCATTGTGGAGGTTTGTACATGGTTTGTCCCTTACTATTTTTGTTTAAAAGGATCGTACTGCCTTGAGAGTTGTTATCATTGGGTTTGACGTACGCATGACTGCTGGATACAGAATCGAAGAAGTCAAGAAAGAAGAAACACCGCTTTACGCTTAGACTGTAGATCTATTCTGCGAGCGTTAGCTTTTGGCAGTCCGTGATCAGCATTATGGCGCTGAGTCATCGTGCCTCCAACTGCCAAGCCTTTTGAAGGTTCACGCGGGACGATGTTCCCTCCCGCGCGCGCTACTCTCCACCACACCCACCTGGAGCCTCCTGCGTTGTCCTCTGGTCTGCCTCCCGCTCGGCCCGCTGTGGCGCTAATCCTTACCCTACCCGCTCGAAGTAAATCAGAGTGCACCTTTCCCTGATTAGCGGTGTTCCTGTAATCATACACGACAGTTCCCCCGTCGATTTCGACGATGGGCACCGCGTGCTCCAACAG